CACTTGCATTCCTAGCTACTTAGGAGGAAGTGGGGAGAAGTATGAGTTTGAGAATAGCCTGGGCAAGACCATATCTCAAAACTACAAAAAAGACTTGGACAGTAGGAGTAGAGGGAAAAGTAAAAATGATTAATATGTATATATATATATATATATTCTCCAAGATGATTAACATCTATCACCTTAATCTTTTCCATATATCAATGGAAAACAAGAAGTTTAGGAATGTAGCTTACAGGTAGAGGGTTTGCCTAGTATACACAAACCATGGATCCTCAGTAACATGAAAAAACTATGACTGTGCCAGGCCTGTGATCCCAGCACTTGGGAGGAGAGTTCAGGCTGCCAGCAGTAGTGCGTTTAAGCCCAGCCTGAACTGCATCACAGACCCTTGCCTCAAAAAAAAAAAAAAAAATCTATATTTTTATCTGTATCATCTATATTTATATGACCGAGGTAGATACTTTTAATTTTCCTAACCCAGCATCTAATGAACAAGTACTTATTTAATTTTTAATCTATATCACAAGGCCAGGTATGTTGTAGGTACTCAGGAAATATTTGTTGAGTGAATGATTTCATTGGGCAGGCAAACTTCTATATAGTTGCCTCTAATTCAAAGATGAATGAAGAAACTGTTGTAATGAAGATTCTGGCAAGAACTGATAGAGAGGCGCCAAAGGGGAGGGCAAATGAAAGGAAGCCTTCATGGAGGTGATGTTGGCACTGAGCCTTCAAATCACCCACATCCCAAGGGTGTTTGAGAACCAGCAAATTGTGGGTTAAGCATCATATGGGAGGAAGTGGTAGGTGGCTAAAGTGAAGGGATCCAAGTTGTGTTTTGGGAAGCTAACCGTAGAACCAGGCTTGAGAATGGCTTTTCTGAGAAAATACTGAAAGTGGTGCCTGCCTAGATGAGGTTAAGAGCAAATTGAAAATGAAAGAGGGAGGATGGGCTTGAGAATCCTGTAGGACAGGCTTAGCATTTAGCTAAGTAAATGAGCATAAAGAGAATCAAGAACTGAACATTATTTTGAAGCTTTTCACCTGAATGAGTGCATGGGCGTGGTGATGTTTCCCAAACAGGGAAGAGTAGAGAAGGGGCAGACTTTACAGGTATCATGGAAGAAACTAAGCTTTATTTTGACATCATAAGTTGGAAATTCTGGTGGTGGGTATAAGTGGAGACATTAACAGAAGCAAAAAATAAAAGATTTCAAGAAATTTGGGGGATTTAGCTCAGCGGCATGAGCACCTGCCTTGCAAGCAGGCGGTTGTGAGTTCGATCCTCGGTACCAATAAAAAAGAGTGGAGATGCTATACGGAGCCCACTGTCCTGACTTCCTAGGATAGCCCATGCCATGTTTTCCAGACACAGTGTGTACTTTATAGGGGCTGGGGACTTAGCTCAGTGGCATAAGCGCTTGCCTTGCAAGTGTGCGGTCGTGAGTTCGATCCCCGGTACCGACAAAAAAAAAAAAAAAAAAAAAGAAATCTCGCAGCTCTCAGTGCAGATAGAAGTAATGGACACTACAGGAACTGATGTGATTTGTACTGAAGAATTTTAAGTGGAAAAGAGGGTTGACAGCTGTGGATACCTGTTAAATATTTCTGTACTTCTGCCCTGTGGGAATCACAAATTCAGTACATCCAAAAGAGAAAATAGAAGTGATCATCTTCCCATCATATCCCTTTCCTCTCTCCTCCCCTTTCTCCCTCCCACCCTCTCATACCTGGGATTGTACCCAGGGCTAAATCACTAAGTACTCAGACTGAGCGCAAACGTTGGATTCTTCTGCCTCAGCCTCCCAGAGGGTTGGGATCAGAGGCTCTTACCGGTAGGTCCAGCTACTCCTCTTGTGCTGGTCTTGATTTCTCTAGCTCTGAACCCAGTGCTGATCCGTCTTGCAATCACTCTGGTGCAAAACCTGACTTATTTTTGTCTCCTCTCCTAATTCTACACAGTAAATTTCACCTACAGGAAATACTGAAAATTCGTAAAAGCAACAGGGTATAAACGTAGGCATTTAATGGAACTATTTTAGCACAGTGTAAAGTATTGTTCTGGTCATATTCTTATGCAAACATAGTTTTAAGTTTTTATATGAATACTTTCAAACTACATTTTTGAGCACACTTTTTATTAACTGTAACAGCCATACAGAAATATACTGTATCATAAATCAGTAACTTTTCATGTCATTAAATATCTTTCCATAACAACAATTTCATAAGGCCATAAGTTATTCTGTCCCAGAGATGGGCTAGAATTTAACTAACCCCTTTAGTAGCAGTTCTGGATTTTTTTTTCAAGTCTTTTCACTCCTCAGCAATGCCGCAGAAATAAATTTACCTGCATTTAAGATATTTGCACCCATTTCCAAGTCTTCCTTAGACTAAAATTTTTAGGAAAATTTCTGAGCCAAAAGCCATATGTGTGTTTAGAAATAATCTTTTAATTTTTGAATAGTTTCAGGTTTATAGAAAAATTGTGAAGATTTTGAGTTGGGAGCATTGCTCACTGGTAGACTACTTGTTTAGTATGTGCAAGAGACACTGAGTCTGGTCCCCAGCACTCCAGAAAAAAACTGAAGATTCTACAGCTTCCACATAACCTACAAGCAGTTTCCCTTATTGTCATCTTATATTAGTACAGCACGTTATCACAATTAAACAATATTAATAAACTATTATTAACTATACTCCATTCTTTATCTAGATTTAATTTTTTCCTAATAAACATTTTCTATTCTAATATTCCATCCAGTATATCACACTCTGTTTAGTTGTCAAGTGTCCTTAAGCGTCTCTTGGCTGTGACAGTTTCTTAAACTTTCCTCATTTATTTTTTGCGATAGGATTCTGTTATGTAGTCCAGGCTGGCCTTGAATTCACTTTGAAGCTCAGGTTGGCCTGGAACTCACGTTGATCCTCTTGTCTTAGTCTCCTGAGTGCTGGGATTACAGGCATGTGTTACCACACCAGGAATTTTCCTTCTCTTTGATCTTCATAATTTTGAGGAATTCTGGTCAGGCATTGTGTATGATGTTCCTCAACTGGGGTTTGTTTCCTTTCTTACAGTTATGTCAGCAGTTAGGATGGGTCTAGCTTTAGTGATAAGGAAAATTAAAACTATAGCACAAATTTGCAGGAAAAGGGTTTAATTAAAAGAGAAAATAAAGGAGAGCACAGCTTCGACAAAGAGCAAGCTGGTTCCCTAACAAGCAAAGTAAGAGCGAATGGGAAAGTATTTTAACTTGAATAGCTGGAGGGTAGGAAGAGGATCAGACTGGTCCACTCACAAAAGAGAGGGCTGGGGGCTGGGGATTTAGCTCAGCTGCCTTGCAAGCAGGCAGTCGTGAGTTTGATCCCTGGTTTCGATAAAGAGGAAAAAGACCAAAAAAAAAAAAAAAAAAAAAAAAGGAGAAGGCTAACTTATAAGGATCAGCTGAAATGGATGGATCAGGGTCCAGTGGATCATTATCTCAGTTTTGGTTTCCATAGATCTGAAGGAATTCTTATGATATGAGGGACAAGAGATATTTTCACATGGGAAAATCTCAATCCTGTGAGGTTCTGCTAGAATCCGAGGTGACCTTCAGTGTAATGCCACCACTGAAGGCTTGTGTAGTTGAATGTTTCTGTAAATTACTTATCTCAGAGTCTTCAGTCTTAAAGGGGCACATGACTATGTAAATTCAGGGCTATCAACCCCATTTTGCCAATGTTTAGGCATATACTCCCATAGGTTTAGCATACCTATGTGCAGAGCTGAGATGGTATTTAACTTAAAGTTTTAAGGTAACAAGACTGTCAAAGGAGGAGGAGGAGAAAGAGGAAGAGGAAGTCCAGCTTTGTTCTGATTTTTAATTACCTATTGAACATCTGTAGACCCAAGAGGTCCCTTTTATGTCTCAAATTGCCTCAGAAGAAAACACAAATCATGCTTTTAATGAGTAGCAGGTTAAAGACCCAGAATTTATTTTTTCCTCTATCCCTATGGTGGTCTCTGTGTCAGTTTGACCAGGGTTACAAATTTTGGAAGGAAAGTACTATAAAGTGCCACTCTCTGTCCATCAAGTTCACACAGTGTTAGCATGATGCATCACTGTTGATGCTAACCTTGATCACTGTTGATGCTGAGATAGTGTGCCTCACGTTTTTCCACCATAAAGCCACTCATTTTGCCTTCATCCGATACTCTGTACTCATTGGAAAGGAGTCACACAGGGAGCTGGGAGTTAAGCTTGGATGCTGTATACACAAATTAGGAGTGTTCTGCACGCTGTACCGCTGAGCTACATCTCCAGCCCTTTTGTAGGAAATTTCTCTTCCCCACTTATTAACTTTGTCACTCATTTACATCAGTATGGGATCATGAATATTTCTTTTATACTTTAAGCTATATTTCAACACTACTTGTTTTATTGTTCAAGGTAAATATATATATTTTGGTACGGGGAATCAAACTCACAACCTTGCGCTTGCCAGTCAGGTGCTTGTGCCGCTGAGCCAAATCCCCAGCAAGGTAAGTATATATTTTTTTTCTTTTTTCTTTTTATTGGTACCGGGGATCGAACTCATGACCGCCTGCTTGCAAGGCAGGTGCTTATGCCGCTGAGCTAAATCTCCAGCCCCAGATAAGTATATTTTTAATGCTTTGAGTAACAATGCAAAATCGTCCCCTTTCAAAGTTCATGCCGTCTTATAAGGGTAAAAATCAAGATCCATTTCTCTTTAGCTTAACAAATCTTCAGCGCCCAACTTTCTGACGCCCACTGGCGAGATGAGGCTAGCCTGCGGGGTCTACTCGGGTTCCACACAGGAGCCACAAAGACTATTCTTGCCCCCCACCGAGCAGCTCTCCCCGCCCTCTGCCCTACAGCAGTTTTCCCGTGGCCCCGCCCACCACATGGCGGAAGCGATCGCGACCCCGGGCGGAAGCCGCTGGGTCCTGGCGGAAGCTCTGGCTCGGGGCGGGCTCTCCGTTAGCCCCTCCCATTCTGCCACCGCCCCACCCCTCCGGCCCAGACCGGAGATGATGTCAGAGGGGGAAACTCCGGCGGGGAGGCTGGCCCCCAAAAGCGGTGCCAGTTGGAGGTGGCTGCGGCAGCCGGTGAGAGGGGGTGGAGCGGGTTGAGAGGTTCGGGGTTCGCCACTGCCGGGGGATCCGGGCAGTGGTCTGCGGCTGGGCGGCTAAGGATTTCTAGCGGCCGTGGCTCCCCGCGGGAGGAGCGAGAGTGGCGGGCCTAGCCCTGCGGGGCCTGTTGCCCCCATCCCGGGTGGTGAGGTGTCTGTGTCCTGGGCTACTGTCTTCCTGTATTCTCCTTTCGGCAGGCGACAGCGTGAGGGATTGGCGTCTTGGGTCTTGGTCGCAGTAGCTCTCGGGGGCTGACCGGAGGGTGGGGAAAAGTCCTTCCAAACAGGTTATCTTTTGGGGTCCCCCCCCACGTAAGTGGCCCATGGTATAACTCTCGATCGCAGAGGGAGTCTGCTTGTTGTTTAGCGGTTTCCGACTTAGAAGGGCAGACTCTACTGCTTCGGGTGAGCCCAAATTCGAAGTTGCCTCCTGCCTCCCTGCCTTCCACAACTCCCATCCTACTTCTGGCTCTCCTATACTGTCTGTCAATTCCTGTCGTGACAGTCTTACCCCTCCCTGGGCCGGTCCTGGTCCCTGGGGCCTCTTGGGGTGTTGATCTGAGCGAACCTGGAGGTGTGGGAGTCTCAGGGCTCTTCTGGTCACTATGTTTGAATTGTAGTCTGAAAGGCAGGAAAAGGATTCCGCGCGAGTATTTGACTACAAGTTGTTTGATAATTTCGTTCCAGTTTGTGCATTTGTGCAGTTGTGCAAGGGTTTTAAAACAATATTACTTTATGAGGAAATGAGATTTATAACTGCTATTTCTACTTGTTTGTCTATTTCGGTCATAGTCACGGTACTATTCCAAACCCCAGCAGGAATCCTAAACTACTAATTATTTAAACAGTCATACTCTTTTAGTGTATGTGGCTTTTGACACCTTGAAGTTCTGCTTGGGTGGTCATTTTGTAGCCAGGTGTCTGTGTTGCTCCCATAAATATGTCACATAAGCTAGAAAACTTTTCCTAGCTTTGAATTGATTGGCATAGAGACAGTGTGAGAACAGATTTTTGAAAGTCCTTTGCAAAATGTAGATTGCATGAACAGAAATATGGGCTGAGAGTGGCGAGCTACCTAGTTTTCCGTTCTGATTATGGTCTTGAAATACTTTGAACTTAACAAGAGCTAGGCAGAAAGTGTTAACTTATTATGTACTTTATTAAGTGTTGCACACATTAGCTTTCTTTTTAAAAGAGAATTTTAAAACTTGCTTCTACTACTACCCCTTGAAAGGTTTGCCTCTGAAGTGTAGTTTCATGAGTGAATAGAAATACAGGAAATTTTGAAAAGCAGTTAGCCAAAAACTTCATTTCCACCCCATCCCCATCACTTTAGCTTCAGTTATATTCCGTGTGTGTGTGTGAGAGAGAGAGAGAGAGAGAGAGAGAGAGAGAGAGAAACATTGAGAGAGAGGTTGTGCAGCACCAAAGCACATAATTAGGATGATCAGAATGGGGAGAGGAGCCTAAAACTTTCTAATTTTTGAAAATAAATGACACATTCTATAAGGTTCTCTACCTAGTAGCTTCCAGATGGCAGTTGGTACACCTGCATCACTACAGATTCTTGGATCTCTTAAACTGCAAGCTGTCCTCCTTAAGTGTGTTGCTTCTCTTTCTGTTCCCTGCCACACACATTCTCAGCAGTGAACCAGATTCCAGTCTCAATACCATAGTGCTACTGGATCCCACCCTGTATGCTCCCAACTCTACTGTGACTTTAAAATTGTGTGTTTTTTCTGTTCCTCTTTGAGAAGGCATTGTATAATCTTTTGGGGTCTCATCACTTTGTAATTCACTGATAAGTTTAATTGGGGAGGGAGGGAAGAGATCTATTCCAGAGTTTGCTTGTTTTTGCTATACCTCAGTTATCTTGTGAGTGGTCAAGTTTTTGTACTTAAGAACATGTTGGAATCAGGCATTTAACAGGGATAAGACATTTTTAGTGGCTTAAGGAGGCAAGGATGGTGGGAGCATTATCTTATGTGAATCCAGCTACAAGCTGTCTACACATGGGCAAGACTCCTTAATCTATTCATAGAACTATTTGAAAACAACATCCTATTCAGGGTTTTTTTTTTTTTTTTTTTTTTTTTCATTTTTGAACTTTTTCTTGGCAGATGTGGCCTCATGGATGAGCTGGTGCATGACTTAGCCTCAGCCTTGGAGCAGACATCTGAGCAGAATAAGCTTGGTGAGCTGTGGGAAGAGATGGCCCTGAGCCCTCGCCAGCAGAGACGCCAGCTTCGGAAACGGCGGGGCCGGAAGCGCCGGTCTGACTTTACTCATCTGGCGGAGCACACCTGCTGCTACAGCGAGGCCTCTGAGTCCAGTCTGGATGAGGCCATTAAGGACTGTCGAGAAGTTGCCCCTGCCACCAATTTCAGTGATTCCGATGACACAATGGTAGCCAAACAGCACCCAGCTCTCAGTTCCATTGTTAAGAGTAAGCAACATTCTTGGCATGAATCTGACTCCTTTACTGAAAATGCACCCTGTCGGCCACTCAGGCGCCGGCGGAAGGTGAAGCGAGTAACTTCAGAGGTGGCAGCCAGCCTTCAGCAGAAGCTGAAGGTGTCAGATTGGAGCTATGAGCGAGGCTGCAGGTTCAAGTCGGCTAAGAAGCAGCGTCTGTCTCGCTGGAAGGAGAATACTCCCTGGACCTCATCAGGCCATGCCTTGTGTGAATCGGCAGAAAATAGGACTTTCCTAAGCAAAACAGGAAGGAAAGAAAGAATGGAATGTGAAACAGATGAACAAAAGCAGGGCTCTGATGAGAACATGTCAGAATGGTGAGACTCCCTCGCTGTCAGATTTTCCTAGTTAATTTTACCCGAAAGACAAGTGCAGTCCCTTGATGAACTCTTTTTTCCTAACCAGCCATTCTAGTTTGGCTTTGTGACCTTCCCTGAATTAATCAGAAGTTTTCTCTAGTTTTTAAAGTAACATTTATGATTCTGATTCCTTCCAAGAAGGTTCTATGTAATAGAAACAGTTTGAGTCAAAAATTGTGTATTCCAAATGCATAATCAAGAAGTTAACAATTTGCTGCTGTTTATACTATATAATCCACAAACATATATTGTTCTTTAGAACAAGGGTCTTAGCAGAGGCTGGTGATATAGTATATGTGAGAGAGAGAATGCCTAGGTGCCACCAGACAAATGCACTCTGTAAATGTTTCTGGTAAGCTGCACTTTTAAGAATCATGTTTAGCCTGTAATCCCTGTACCCAGAAGGCTGAGACAGGAGGAACATTGTGGGTTTGAGGCCAGCCTGGGCTACAAAGTGAGTTCAAGGCCAGCCCAAACTGCATAGGGAGACCCTGTCTCAAAAAGACCACCAAAAAAAAAAAAAAAATCATGCTGTAGATATTTTGGGATCATACTTCTGCTCTCTGTCACTTGTGTATGAGTGTACTTTTTAATGACAGACTTTCGAGTTGTCTGAATACATTGTGAGCTTTGAAAATATCAGTGCCAAGTGATACTAATCTTAGACCAAATAAGATCAGATCAGAGAAATTTGTCTCTAAATGGCTAGATGTTTAAATGTCAGTGTAGCTTTTGAAATTTTTCTACATTGCATTCCCAGGAAGATTGATGCTCTCCAACTTTTTACTTTAATATTATTATTATTAATCTGTCACTTTCTCAATGAGGATCCTGTTGGTGTTCTGGGTAAGACTGTATTTGGGTACACTGCAGGATATTTAGCATCTTTTCAGTGTTCCTACCCTTCATAAAATCAACCCAAATGTCCTAGAGGGGTGACTCTTAGGTGGGTTGAATACTCTTGGTTGAGATAGTTGTATATTCTGTTACTGTTAATTAAGATTCAGTGTCATTTATTAAGCACTGTACTACACACTGGATATTGTGTTTTAATGTTCACAGCTTTGCTGTATGGTAGAATTTCACTATTTCTATTTCATAGAAGAGGAAGCAGGTTTAAGAGAGTTTAGTTAATTGGCTCAGGGTCACCCAGTCCCTCGCGTTTCACCGTGTTTTGCTTGGTTTCTTCCATGCTGGTTTCTTCCGTGGCCCTTTTTCTGTTTCGTTTTAACTTTTACAACTGTAGAGCATATGACCCTTCTTAGGAGTTTGCTTCTTCAGAAGTTTTATCTTAAAAACAAAGACATCAGAGATTAGGCTGTGTCACTAACAGGACAAACCGTGTAGGTGCCTGTGTCACTACCTTTATGGATGGTTTTTAGTCCAGCTTTCTTACTAACTTTGAATTTGCAGGTGTGGTCAGTTACCGTATGGTAACAAGTTGGTCCACAATTTGGCTTTCCTAGTTTTTCACTATTCTAAGGCTGATTTATACAATTTATATGTGTATTTTTGGATTATAAAAGTCTCTTTTTCCTTATGCTATTTTTAACCAAACAAGAATTGCATAGTCAGCTTGTAGCCTTTCAGGATATTAAAGCCCTCCTTTGAGGTATTCAGGATTATTTTAATATTGAGTATATATACCTTGTAATTGTATGGTCGAGAATGATGATTTTAAAAATAATCACTTGGAATGATAGTTTGTGTATATGTCTTCCCCAGAATTTTTGTTAAGCTGTGAAATAATTGTGTGTGTTAGAGACTGTTAACTGTCTACTCTAAGGTACATCTGCAAGTGCAAAGCGAGTGGCCTAGCAGTGACATGCTTTAGTTTTTCTTTCCCTTCTTATCCCAGACCATCTATTACAGTGAGGTGGTGGTAATATAAATCTAATTATCTCAGAGGCTGAGAGATTGAAGTAGACAGAAGTTCTTCTGAGTTTCTTTCTCTTTTTAAACTAAAGAAACCTGTTTTTCCCATTTGGACTACTTCCCTGATCTGTGACTCAGAGTTCCTTGAGTAGTATGGTGTAGAGTCCTGTAGCTATGACGGAATAGCGAATGGAGTAAGAGCAGACAAGAGAAAGAGAAAAAAATAATCTTTAAAATCTAGTTATTCAGGAGTCCTAAATTGCCCTTGACTTGTCTTCTTTTGTGTATAGTTATAAACAGAAATGCTTTGTTTTATTCTGCCTGAATTTCTTTTTTTTTTTTTTTTTTTTTTTTTGTCTTTTTCATTTTTATCGGTACCGGGGATCGAACTCACGACCACCTGCTTGCAAGGCAGGTGCTTATGCCGCTGAGCTAAATCCCCAGCCCCTACTGCCTGAATTTCTTCCGTGGGGGAAGAGAGATGATTCTTACTTGGCTTCATATTGTATCCAGACTCTCTTCAACAGTGAAGTGGAACGTTTGTGTTTTAATATTCAAGCTGCTCTCAATTATGATCCCTTTTTATGTATTCCAAATGCTGTGGATTGAACTCGGTCTTGTGCCTGCTAGGCAAGTGGTGTACCACTGAGCTTCATCCCCAGTCCTTCCTTCAGTTACTAAATACACTTTACAAAAGGGCTAGCATGAGCGTGTAAGTAGGTAATAGTGTATGACTCGGATATCATTCCATCTTTGTGAGTTGATCCTGTCAATTCTGTCCCCCTACGTTAGAAGAAGCACTTTCAAGAATCCTCTTGGTTACTAGTTAATACATCTGCTTAAATGTGACAGTTTATTTACATAGGGACCAAAGTATAGAACTTAATTTTAATAGTGGTATTGAGGGTGTCAGTCATGATCCACCTTGTAAAATTAAGATCATTAAGTTTAAATTGATTTTGTCAGTGGATAGTTTTAAAAAGGATGGAAAGATACTTTAGATTTAAAAAAGTTATGTCTCAGTCAGCTTTATTTCTAGTTTCCTTAAATCCTCTTTTTGCTGCCTAGGCGCTGAGTAGTTTAAAGATTAACCAGTATTTCTGTTTTGCTTCTTTCTTTCTGTTCTTCCTTCTGTTCTGTACCAACTTTGGAACTTACAAGTTCTGAAGAACTGAAAATGATTAGTGTATAGATTTTTTTAAGTGTTGCATGAAAATCAAATAGTTATTTTAATTTTATCCTTGTTTGTGTTTTTGTGGATATTTTAAAATGGGGCAACACTTACAAAATTACTTTCTATAGATTTATTAAATTGTCTGTATAGCAGCTATTAGTTAGATGACCATGGTCTAATTTTGCTCGGTTTTCAGTAATGCGTCGTTTGTTTTCCTTTAATGTTATTTATCTTCTTTTTCTTACATAAATGACTTGGTTAGGTGATGGCCTGAAGTCACATTCAGGAGCCTTCCTAAGGTGATGTATTAGAGGCTGTTCTCACAGAAAAGAAAATATTCCCTTCTCTTGGAAGGCAAGTGACAGAGATAGAGTGCTAACCCTCCCCCTCCTTCTGCAGCCCAAGCTGACCTTCTGAGGCCCCTTGGTGCTTCTTGTTTTCTTATTTTTATAGAAAATCAATATCCCTTCTGACACAAACAATAGCTCAGAAGCAAGAATAAATGGGAGAAAGCTGAGATCTCTGTCCATCACCTCTCACTTTAACTCCCCCAAACTCTTTAATTATGAGCATGCTTTACTCCAGGTGTTTGTGACAGTGAAATTGCTAAATGAGGACCATTTTAACCAAAGATTGGGTGATCAATAACACTCTATAGCAGTAGCTTGTTGGATCAATAGCATTCATTATTTCATGGTTAAGGTAAGTAGCCTCCTTTGCAAGTGGAGGTCATTAATCAGGGGTTACTGAAGCTGAGGAGAAGAATATATGTGCTAGGTTGGTGATGTTCTGTTTTCTAGGAACACTGACCAAGAATGTACTTACCATTCCTGCAGTTCATAGTATTCATTGGAGAATGCTGGCTAGCTAGCATCACTTATATAGATTTATGCAGAGTTTTGTTGGTATATCCTCGGGGAACAAATGTAAAAGAAGACTCCTGAGGTGGATATGGTACTATTGTATTTAAAGGTCTATCTCTTGAAAGAGTGTATCATTCTTGAAAGAAACATTGAAGTTATTCTATGGCTCTAGAGGAAGGGACTAGGACTAGGGGTTAAAAACAGTGTTAAGTGTTACCTTAGTATAAAATATAACATTCTTTTATAACTGTAAAAATAAATAATCATTTTACCAAGTTTTTGCTCTCTGGTGGGAGTGGCCTGAAGACTGCTATTACTCTAGAGCTGAGGAGGTTGGACTGAAACACTTCAAGGACCCTTGGAACACGATCTTGTGATTTTTCAGTCACTACCTACCTTCTACCATTGTAACATTAGTTTTAAAAGGCATCTGATAAGCAGCCTTAACTGCTTTCTAGAATATTTATTAAAAAAATCCAGTATTTGCCCATTCACATAGTCAGAAACCAAAAAGCAGTTAGATTATTGCCAGAAGTTCCTGAAACTACGGTACAAGGCTAGTACAGCTGTGTTTGGGAATGCATTTGCAGACTGGCATTAGCAGTGCTGAGCCTGCCCTGACCCTGCAAGACTATGTGTCCTTTTCCATGGGCAGCCTTCCCAAATGCAAGGCCTGCTCAGTCAGGGAATTGGGGAGAATGTTGCTTTGGCTGGGGGTGTAGCTCAGTGGTACAGCTGCTTGCCTAGCGTGTTCAAGGCCCTGAGTTTGATCTCTAGCACTGGAAAATAAATAAGTAAGTTAAAGGTTTTGGACTGGGGGTATAGCTCAGTGATGTGGTGCCTGGCTGGCAAGCAAAAAGTCCTGAGTTCGATTTTTGGTATCCAAAAACAAAACAAAGCCAAAAAGTTGTTCTGTCCTCACTTCCTAGTCTGTATCTTTTGTTTTCTGTTTGGAGGCAGTGTCTCCCAGAATGCACTTGGTTAGGGAAGTTAAGTGTTTTGTGTGTATTTGTGTTTGTGTATAGGAGGCAGATACAGGGTATTGA